GTGGTCTTCCTGCGTTAGCCACGTTTCAGACAGGACAATCACCTCAGCCTTTGTTCCCGCAGCCACTATGGCCAGCTCTCCCCACTTATTCCTAATGCTGCATGTATTGGCGTGCAACAGTACCAAGGCTTTCCTATCCCCTAAAGAGTGGTGTTTGTTCACTCGTATTGTTTCTTCGGGCGTAACGCCCGGGTAGGCAGCCCGTTTTTCGGCTGATGTTTGGTGCCAGCTGCTCCTGTGACCACCGTTCCCTCCAGCTCAGGGAACCTGGAAACGTATGCTGGTCCCAGTGACAATATTGACTGACCAGTTGCGGCATTTTTTTATTCCATTTGGGTCTCATTTACTGACGTGAGATGCTCCAAGGTGTCTTCAATTACTACCACATTCGGGTTTGCTAAGACCCGTGGTGCCCTGGGCAGTTTCATTAGCTCAGCCCCAAAACGTTCTCTTCCCGCCATGTAAGTTGATGGTTTTCCATTTATTTCCCTGATTCGGGGTTCATCAGGGACTATTTTATAACGCCCTTTAGTAGCACTCCAAACAATGTCGGCCCGGGATAGTAGCATATCCCTATCTAGCGGTCTGGCAAACTCCACCAGTATGGGTCTAGCTGGTGCTTGTGTTGCTTCCATGTGTGGCGTTTTCCACCTCCCGGCCCGGTGTACTCTCCTAATTGTCAAATTAGGCGGAGCCCTTGTGTTGCTTCCAGGGGTGGTGTTTTCCACCACCTGGTGTACTCTCCTAATTATCAAGTTTGGCGGAGCTCCAGCTAACCTGAGTATGTCATGGACTCTACGCCTGTCTATTTCCCTACGGGCCTTCGATTCTCTCATATTCGACCCCTCTTTGTTAAGTATAAGGAGGTTTCTACGAAATTCAACTTTCGGGATACTTACGGCAAGGTAGTACTCACATAATTCTTCAGCTCCTAAAGCTCTTCTTCCAACCTATATCTCTTCCCATGTGAGACTATATTTCTACCCGCTCAAGGTTTGGACCCGCGGTGTGGCTTGGGCCGCTTTACACCCCAAGGTACCTTGGGGTTGATCACAGGTAGCGGCTTTGGTAACGATGTGGATACTGCTTCTGCCTTCCATGTCTTCGGAAAAACTGTTTGCCAAGAACTCTCCCTGCGGTTTACTCGTTTCTTGACTTGAAGCGACCTGAGCGTAAGTGCTCAAGGTTCCTGTGGGTAGTTCCGACGTTTTGGGGCTCTCAAGACGCTCACTGCTCGGTTTGCCTCTGGCCTCCGATTTCCGCATCACGAACGCAGACCTTGCCTCGTCCTTACACTATTCACAGATCCACTCTACTCAGCTATTTGCGCAGAAAAATACATAGTGGTCTTTGCTAATACCTGAACAACCAGAATGTGCCCACCTTTTGCAGGTTTCGCATTCGATTCCCTTGACCACTTTCTTCCTGCAGCTATCCTTCAAACATGGATAGGACACGTGCGTCATTTTTAGTACAGGTATTCAAAAAAATGCAACACAATGATATGAAACACGAAAGGTGAGTACGACACGTAAAAGCGTTACACAAATCCAAATTAACCAAACCAAATGGCTATGCACGATCAGGTCGGTCCACAGGACGTAGCGGCGGCGGGCCGATTTGTCCAGCTTCTTGTACTGATGGGCTCCGTGGATCCCCTTATGCTACCACAACAGGAGGGGAACAACTCTTCTTCAATAAACAAATAGTACACAACGACCACGAGAGACTCCCTTCGCAGGGCTCCAGTCAGAGGGGGTTCCTCAAAAATGGTGTTGCAGCTTGTAGACTCATGGGACGACCAGACCATCCATTGGGACTAAGAGGTTGATTTAAAGAGGTAGAGGTGTCTAATAGATGTGAAGGATAAGTAAGGGCTAAGCATAGGGCTCCTAGAGAGGTTGGGAGGAAAGTGAGTAAAGAGGAGAGAAGACGTGGATGGTGGAGGTTTAGCAATAAATGGATAGCGGTCCCGAGTCAGCTGTATCCAAACTGTTCCACTCAGTCTTCGCCCCCCTCGAACACCTTGGTCTATACCATGTCTAGTCTGCGTTTGTAGTCTGCTATCCAGTTGGCAGCGATGACTTCATCCGGCAGTCTATTCCAATCATTCACAACTCCCGCTGCGAACGAGGGCGCTCTAAGCCGATTCCTCACTCTATATTTAACTACTTTTAGAGTGTGCCCTCTCAGGTTCGTTTTTTCACTGAGCTTGAGCAGCGCTCCATCTGGTAAGTCCATAGACCCTCTCAGGATCTTGTACGTTTCGATCAAGTCCCCGCATCGCCTACGCCTGCTTAATGAGAAAAGGTCTAACGTTTAGAGACGCCTCTCGTACGATGGATGGCTTAAACCTGCAAACCATTTTGTGAAGCTTTGCTGCACTGATTTTAGCGTTTTAATGTCTTGGATCATAAACGGGCTCCAAGCCTGGACGCGGTATTCGAGGTGCGGACGCACATTAGCCTTGTAAAGAGGGAGCAAGACTTCGGGTTGCGGAAGTTGGTGCAAGGCTCTGGCTGCCCGGTTTGCTGCCTCTCGGCACTGGAGTTCAGGCTTGAGATCCGCACTGACAAGGACACTTAGGTCTCTGGCTATGGTTACCGTGGGTATCTGTTGGGAGGGGGTCTGGGGGTCCCATTGTCCCGCCGCCTTACATGCCTCCAGTTTTGACTAGCTGTTGACACTTCAGAGTATTCAGAGGCAGGTCCCCTTTAACTGACCACTCATGTATTTCGTCAAGATCTTTCTGAACCGACTCTGTCGCGGAGTCCCCGACGATATTCACATCGTCTGCAAACTTGTAGCAGCGGTTTTATAGGTCGGTGCTGAGGTCGTTGATATAGAGCAGAAAAAGCAGTGGACCTGGTACAGAGCCTTGTGGCACTGCATTAAACACTCGTCCGTGCTTAATGCGCTATTATCTACCCTCACAACAAACCTCCGACATATTAAGCAGCTGTGTATCCATTCTTGCAGTCCCGGGGGCAGCCCGAAAGCCTTCAATTTCGTCAGCAGTAGTCTATGATTGACGGAGTCGAACGCTTTCTGGAGGTCTAAATAGCAGACCTCAAATTCCTCTCCCCTGTCACCCCTCTTAGTTACTTCATCAAAAAAACAGACAAGATTTGACAAGCACGACTTCCTCTTTCAGAACTCATGTTGGTCAGCCGTCAATGTACCTACAGCTACCACGTGTTCAGCGATCCTGACACTCAGTACTCTCTTCATGACTTACAGTACTCCTGATTTCAGCCTGACTGAGCGATAGTTCAAGCACGACTTACGCTCTCCCCCCTTGTGGATAGAGATAACTGTCGCCAAAAGCCAGTCCATGGATAGTTGGTTCTGTGCGATGGAGGCATTGAATAGTCTGGCAAAGGGCTCAGCCAGTGGTCTCATGATAGCGGGGTGAATGCGATCTGACCCTGTTGCCTTTGTTGGAATGAACTCCCTTAAGACCCGATGCACTTCATCTGCAGAGATCACCACGTCAAGCATGACGGTTCTTTCATGATTTCCGATGGGAGGCTCTGATCTACCGTAGTCTGTCTGTAAACCCCCTGGAAGAAGTTGAGGAGAGCTTCCGCCTTTTCTTGGTTGGACCAAGTTTGGTTCCCTCTCGTGTCAACAATCGTGCCTACTTCGTTTCTAAGGGTACTCTTCGACTGTACAAAATTGAAGTACGCCTTAGGGTTTTGTTTAGCGTTGACAACCAAGCGTTCCTCGTACCTTTTTCTGCACTCGTTCTGGACTCTAATGGCCTCGCATCTTACCACGTTGTACTTTACGTGGGCGTGAATATCTTCCGAGTTTCGATAACTCTGCCAAGCCTCCTTTTTGCGCCGCATTGCTTTCTCGACACGCGCCCTCCAACAGGGAAGTTTACCCTTTTTTGCGTGCTACCTTATTGATCAGCTCCAGCAGATTGCCCTTTACGCGCTCCCACTGGTCTTGCGCACTTTCTTGAGCACTCTCAGCCAACCAGTTTAGCCGGCACGCCCTACGCTGCAGGTCCCCGGTGTTTATCTTGTTCCACTGACGTCGAAACTTTCAGGAGCAGGTAGTCCCTGCATTCTAATCCTCATCCTTATAACCCCGTGGTCGCTTTCGCCCATCGGATCTTCTACAACAATTCCCCGCACCTCGTNTGTTGGATCAAAGCACTACGATGCAACATTTTAAGTAGCCCTTCCCCGAATGTCCCCAGTGGGGCCGTTTCGGTGGTCCAATCGATTTCCGGAGCATTGACGTCTCCTACTAACAACACCCGGTCACTAGTTTTAGCCTGTTCAGTCAATAGTTCTAGCAGTAACTGATTCTTCTCTATGAAAGGCCGTAGGCTCCTGTAAACACCGATGACGGATAGCCGGTGTTGCGCAGTTTGCACAACCACCTCCACTGCTTGTATATTCGGGGTGTTGTGGAGACGCCCTTTATGTTGGCTATGGTATGCGGCTGCAAGTACCGGTACTCCCCCTCCGGCCCATCCATCCTGGCGATCCACTCTGCTGGAGGTAAAGTTGGGAGGACTCAAGTAACTAATTTCGTCACTAGGACGCAGCCATGATTTTGTGATTACTATCACGTCATCCTCGCTTCCCCGTGCTCTTAGTTCGGGCCATTTGTTTCTCATACTTGTGGCATTTGTGTGCCAAAGAACTAGTTCCGACTTCTTCCTTGAGCCCCTGCACCTCGTGGGAGTAGTCGGTCGCTCGGGCCTTAGACCCGAGCTCCCCATCCGTGTTTTTTGTGATCATGTTGTTGCTATTCCTATTTCTTGCCTAAAATAAGCCTCCTGGTAGACTGCTCGGTGGGGTGATTAAACTGGGTCTGCCCCAGATGGTGCTAAATTACTCTGTCTAATCCCTCGGTGTCTCCTCGGGGCTCCGTTGCAAAGTAGACCCCGGTCGCTGGACCTAAACTTGAAGCTGACCCATTCGCTCTGTGTTAAAGCCAGGAGAGTTGGATGGACTTGAGATTACGTGGGCTTTCCCTTGGGCCGCGTCATCTGGCCGGATAGTCACCTGGCCTCTTGTGCTAAGACCTATCTTTCCAGAGGATTGTAAGAACCAGTAACGACGTCGGGGGTTTGATAATTCAACAAGGACGGGCCTGGGGGGTTCACCTTACTCCGTTCCCATCGCTGTCCAGTGTCTCAGGCGTAGGACTCTCTTAATGACTGTGTCTTGTCCGTTCCACTGTTCTTAGCAAGTTGAGAATGTGGTACCTCATTATCCAGTCCCTTTGTCTGCCTTCCTTCATTGTGGGCTCCGGGATACCATGTATTACCACATTTCTATTCCTTTCAAGTGCTGTATCGCTGGACTTCTTGAGTTGGGTTGGCTCAATCTCTAACCCTCTGTTTCCCTGCTCTACTGCGACGAGGCGGGCCACTAGTTTGGAGACCACTACTTTTGAGTATTCGTTCCCTATTTCCTGAGTATCCGCGTGGCCTGGTGTCTCAGTTTTAGGTGCACCTAGTGGCTTCTTTGGGTTTCTTCTCCTCTTCTTTTCCCCCACTGGTTTATCAGCAGTTCCAGCTATTCAAACAGTTTCAGGGTTTATTGAATTATTATTCGGTGACAACCCACCCTTACTATCCTCTCTATGGCTGATAGGAGTACCGGAGGCTTCTTTGCTTGCCTCTTTCCTTGATATCTTTGTCGCTGCCCATTTCTTCACATTTCCCCTCTAGTTGGACTAAGTTCTTCATGCGTGTCCTACGTGGGACGCAGTCCCAATTTAGGCTCCTGAACTTTTTATACACTCCATATCTCACTTCGGATAGTCCACTGCATTTGATGTGATACCAAAAGCAGCACGTGTTATATTGTGTACCTTTCTTCACCGTACCTGAACGGCGCATTGTGTTACTGCATTTACTCTCATTGTCTCTCTTGCGGGCGGGTGAAGGCCCGTTGGAGAGCTTGGGAATCGCTACTCGGGTTACTTTCACCATTGATTACGTATCAAAATAAACTTATAAGAGTGAATAAAACTGAGAGATGAGAGTGGGAAACCGATACTATAAAAGGACCAACTAAGAGAAACAGAAAATAGGAACAATTATCAAGCGACATAACGGTAAGACACAATATTTGATTTTCAATAATGCTAGCCTTACCTAACGTCCCAGTGATGATTAGCTTTCCAGAATCATACAGCGCACCTCACCTGTAAGTAATTTGTTGTCACTACGGAGATCCCACGTCGGCAAATCCCCCAAGGTCGAGATATACGTATCCGTGAAATCGAAAACGAC